AGTTGTTTATTTAAAAATGGTTTTTTTTGTTTTTTTTTTTTTTTTTTAATTACTGTGAGAAAATTTTTTATTTCTTCAGCAAAGAAATAAAACCGTTGAAAACTTTCAAGAAAATAATATCTGGTCAGAACAATGCCAATTTATTTCAAAAGATACTTTTTCTCTCAGTTTGTATCATTAAATTTTTTAACTCTATTGTAAATTATAAATATTAAAAATTTTCTTGTAACTTAAAATTTAATGGGAATAAAATTTTAGGATACCCGAAATTCAAATAGATAAATATGATTTAATAAACTATAAACATTTAAAAACAACTAATTTAATTTAGAAAATAAATGATAACTGGATGAGTTTCGATTATATAAAATACAATATAAAAACTTTACTTAGTATTAATATAAGTGGCTTAGATTAATGTTATTTTTGTTATGTTTAGGCTACTTAGTATTTTAATTATATTTTCAGTACGCCATTGTTAACTGTGGTAAGAATAACTTCTAAACTTTTGTAGTTTTATATTTTAATAAATAATTGATTCACAATAAATTTAATGTATTTCTTTAAATTAAACCACTTATATTTACTGAACTTTTACTAATATAATTTCTACGAATGACAATACCTGACGGAATAATGTATTGTGATGATAAACATTTGATTTTTTTTTTTTTATTTTTTTTTTTTTAAAAAATCACCGAAATTCAAATAGATAAATATGATTTAATAAACTATAAACATTTAAAAACAACTAATTTAATTTAGAAAATAAATGATAACTGGATGAGTTTCGATTATATAAAATACAATATAAAAACTTTACTTAGTATTAATATAAGTGGCTTAGATTAATGTTATTTTTGTTATGTTTAGGCTACTTAGTATTTTAATTATATTTTCAGTACGCCATTGTTAACTGTGGTAAGAATAACTTCTAAACTTTTGTAGTTTTATATTTTAATAAATAATTGATTCACAATAAATTTAATGTATTTCTTTAAATTAAACCACTTATATTTACTGAACTTTTACTAATATAATTTCTACGAATGACAATACCTGACGGAATAATGTATTGTGATGATAAACATTTGATTTTTTTTTTTTTTTTTTTTTTTTTGTAAAAAATCGAAAATTCCATGAATCGAATTTATTAAAACATTGAAACTACTAAATAAATATTTAGCAAGGTTGTAATTATACAAAACTATGAATAAAATTTTTTATGATAAATAGTTATCTGTAATTTTACGCTATTTCATTATTTTAGATATTTCTTGATAATTTAATTTAGGTTTTTGAAAAATCAGTAGTAATGATAAATTTTTTTGTATATTCAAAAACTTAAAAAATTCGTCTTGATTTATTATAAGAATAATTGACGTACATCCATAATGAAAATTTCTTTTCTTAAAAGATTGAAAAAAGATAAATGAAAATAATCTTTACAACTAAATATAACTTTTGAAAACAAAATTTTATTTTTTTTTAAACTAGGATTTTTAAATATTAATTTAATAAAACTTAAATTTTTATGTTTTATTTAAGAAAACTTCACTGAGGGAATGATAATATTTTTAACTTTAAAGGTAACATTAAAATTAGTACTAAAAAGTCGGAAAAAAAAGGTTGAGATTTTGGAAGATTTTATTTAACAAGAAGTAAAAAATTAATCATTGTCAACTTAAATTCAACATTATGATACTGAAGTTAACTGACATTAGAAATTATTTGAGTATTTCATAACAATGAAATTATTATTTAAAAAATTCAGAAAGTGAAATTTTAAAAAAATTATTAGTGGAGATTTTTAAAGAGTTTTCTTTTATTGCAATTGATTTTATATAAAAAATAAAAAAATTGTCAGTTTTCAGTTATCTTCAACATCTCAAAACATCAGCGAAAAAATTTTTATACCCCCTGAGTAACTGCATTTGAAATTTAAAAAATGAATTTTGACAACAATCGATTTTATAAAGAAATATCGATTATGATGAAAGTTGAAATCGATTCTCGATTGTTCGATAGTCATTCTGTTTCTAGTTCCGGGGTAGTTGCATCATCTCTATTTCTTTCTTTGTCGAAGTTACCCGCAACAACAACCTCTGCCCGGTTAATTGTTAAAAGTTTAGAAAATATTTTTCAATAGGTACCTGACTGTAGAATATAAATTAATATATATATATATATATATATATATAAGTACATAAAAATTAAATACACGCATATAAGTAAACAGAGGACGCGCTTAAATCGTTTGTCAATTATTTTTTTTTGTCAAGTTAATCTACATACTTACCGCACATCATTGTTTAAAATAAGGCTTACTAAAATTTAATTGTCTAAAAATGCCACAATTGACAAAACAATTGTACACGTTTAAGCCATTTGTTTTGAAAGAACATGCACCTAAAGACAATAAAGAACCAGAAGGAAGATGCGGAAGTAAAATATATTGTAAGGGCCACAATCTTTATATTTACCGTGGAAGTGACCCAACGATCATCGATGAGCAAGAGCTAGACGATGGCGTGATTCATATTATCACGAAGCCTAAATTTTGTGACATGTGAGTATTGAATTTACTGTCCAGAGAACGGGCGTACATTAACAATGAACACAAATTACCAGGTCCGGACCACAATGTGATTGGTGTAATCTTCGAAGGGAACTTGTTAACTATTTTCACTACATTATATAAGTCAGTACCTAACTCTGAAGATTGTGATAAATTTACAGACTTATATATTTGCAATATTCTCAATGAACATGTGATCAATCAGTCTCTTCAAGGAGAGGTACCCAAATATCCTTTTCTATGTAATATAATTCGTGATGGAGGATATTATTATATGGTAGGAGATGTTGATGATGAAAATAATCGCGTTGGCAACGTCTACAGGATAGAAATGAAGAGTGGAATTTGGGAATGTGTTTATAAATGTCAAGGAAAAGATGAAAAAAATGAACTTTGGAAAAATGTTCCTTATTACCTAGTTTTTGACGGAAAAACGATTTTTACTTTTTTTTCTCTTGATAATAATAATGATGATGATGATGATGATGATGATGATGATGATGATGAAGATGATGATGGTGATGATGATGATGATGAGTATGACGAGAATTTCACTCCGTATTCTTTTTTGGTAATTGACCTTTTTAGATTAATGATATTGTATTTATTTTTAACTCACAAAACAAGTTTTTTTTTTTTTTTTTTTCAGGAACTTGGAGCTTTTGATGTAGAAAATCGTCGATGGAGAATGATCAATACTCATGGAGATGTTGATCATATACCGAATTACCCAATGGATAGAGACGAATTTAGCGGATCTAATCTTCGAATTTCGCACTACCGAGACTCCAACAATGATGTTATAGTTATTTTATCAGGACAAATTGATCATAAAGATTATTACAATGATTTATGGACATTAAACCTCAGTACTATGATATGGAAGAACATTGATAATCGTAGAAGTATAATACCACGAACGTTTCAAAGCTTCTCAATGACTGTGTCCCCTGCTGGCCAACTATTCACATTCGGTGGATTCATCGGTGACCCGAAAGCTAGAGTATATAATTCATATTTTAAAACTAAATTTAGTAGATGTCATTGAAAATCTAATTATTGCTTTTGTCCTCATAACGCAACTTTTCAAAAATTTTGATATTTCCTGATTCCGCTCGTGCTAGTTGAAAAAATACTGTTAACTCAAAACTTTATTTTTGTATAACTATAGCTCACACAATTCTTATCGGATCTTCAGTTCAAAGACAAGCTGAATCGGTCGGCTAGTTTAAAAATTACGGCAGTTTAATATTTCCACAACTTGTAAAAAATTTTAACTTTTACTTTCTCTCTATACAATAAATAATGAATACAATAACTTAATATATAATTGTAATTTTATTTGAACGCTTATTACATAAGCTTCGATTTACAAAACAATATGTTTTGTTAGATTGATAAGTTTCAAAATTACGACAATTTAAAAGTTTAATAGTTAGAGAAAGTTTTCATTTTTGCTGGTTCTTGACGCAATGACGATTACATTCAATAATAATAGAATTTAATAATATCGTGTAAACTGCACCTGAAAGCTTATTAAATAGGATTTGATTCAATTTATTAGGCTCTGACAGACAAACATTGAAATCGTATTCCTCTAATGAGGGTTGAAAGTAGACTAGTACAATTTTATTTTAAAAATCCAATAAAGGCGAAAAAATTTTTTTGTTTTTAAATTAAAGCTCGAATAATCCTACATAAGATGGATATAATTTTTAAATAATTTAATAATGTAATTAATAATATGTCAGGGGGTATAATCTATGTGATTGTATTTGTTTTTATATTTTATGATATAATTTTATTCGTATATTTTCTCAACTATTCGTTAGTGTTTTATTATTAATTTTGATTTTATTAGAATAGGAATTCTATTTTCATCTTGACTGGCGAATAGTTATTTTCTTATTATATGAATGTAATTGCTCACGTATTTATACGGTTGTGTTAAAAAATAAAATTTTTTTTCAGGTTCCCTGTGGCTCTCGTGTTCACTCAATTTGGATTACTATCCCAAAACTCACAGACATTTGTTGGGAGGCTGTTCTTTACTATTTGCCGAGCTTGGTTTCAATGTCTCAAGAACAAATTGAAAATCTCGGTATTTCATGGAAATTTTTCCAATCGAGAATTAACTAATAATTGAGTATTCTTTTTGCGTTGCCTTTTTTCAATTAATTATCTGTTTTTTATGTATACGCTTAAGTATTGGCTATTATTACTATATATCGAAAGTGTAAATGTTTACTCATTTAACGTTTGTGTTTCAAATAAGTTTATAATAATTCAAAATATAAATTGTTTGTCTTTTGATTTCGTAGTAATTATAACATGTAACAGTTTTAATTTTAAAAAATGCGTGTACTCTTTTCATTGAAAAAAATTGATATTTTTTATATTACATAAGTAAATAAAACCACAAATCAAATTGAGAAATTATTATAATTTTTAAAATTTTATTATATTATCAGCTTTTATCTTATTATGATGGCTAGATTTATATTATTCTCACAACTTTGTCAATCTTCGAACGCATGTTTTACAAAAAAAAATCCGATTGATTTCTTCTCTGTTTGAACTTGATTAAGTTGATATTCATATCGTCAAACCATTTTTTGGAATGTCCAACTCTTTGTACAGGCTTTTCAGACTTGGATTGTATGGTGATCCGTTAAATACTTAACAGAAAAAACCGAAAATACTCGAAGCAATTTCTAAAACTACAATCTGAAAACTTAATTTGTTTGTTTTAAAATATTTAAAATCATTAAGCAAGTACTTAAAACATACTGAGAGAAAAAGTTTATTTTGAAAAAATGAATAATGTTGTTATAAGCAATAAATTTGTTGAAAATTTTTCTCATAGTAACTTTCTTGTTGAAAAAAATTTTCTAAATTTAGATAAAAAAATTTTGGATGAAAATTCGCAAGTTGTTCGTTTAAAATCTTTTTTTTCCAAATCGAATAAATTTTTATTTCAACTAGAAAATTTCTGTGAGAAAAATTTCTATTTCTTCAGCTAAGAATTAAATGTAATTGTTAAAGATTTTCGACAAATTAATTTTTTGTCACAATAATGCCAATTTATTTCAAAAAAAACTTTTTCTCTCAGTGCGTGTACAATTTAATTTTTTAGCTTTTGAAAAATCTCTTGCAAAAGTTAATATATAGTTATTACTCTATTGTTAGTCATAAATATTAAAAATTTTCTTGTAACTTAATATTAGATGGAAATAATATTTCAAGATATCTAAAATTAAAATAGCTAAATGTTATTTGATGAACTATAAACATTCAACAACATCGAATTCAATTTAGAAAATAAATAATAGCTGGATAAGTTTAGATTATATTAAATACAATATAAAAACTTTACTTATTATTAATGATAGTGGCTTAGATTAATGTTATTTTTGTAATGTTTAGGTTACTTAGTAATTTATTCTTATTTTCAATACGCCAGTGTTGACAGTGGTAAGAATAACTTTTGAACTTTTGGAGTTTTATATTTTAATAAATAATTGATTCACAATGAATTTAATGTATTTCTTTAAACCACGTATTTTTACTCAACTTTTACTAATACTAGAATTTAATTCACGCGCGCAAGCGCGCGCCTCATATTTATTGTCATGATATATTTATGTTCGTTTATGTATATTATATTCACTTTCAACCAATCAGAATGAGAATATTTATTTTCGACCAATCACATCACGAATAGATTGGTTTCACATACATTTCATCTCAATTTTATTATGGGACTAGAATTTGAATTTACGCGCGCAAGCGCGCGCCTTGACTATAGAGTTTGCATATATTTTCATGCTTATGATATATTTGACCAATCACGTTACGAATAGTTTGATGCCACATACATTTCATCTCAATTTTATATTAGGACTAGAGTATTCTTCTTTTATATCACTAGAATTGAATTTTGCGCGCGCAAGTGCGCGCCTTGACTATAGAGTTTGCATATATTTTCATGCTTATGATATATTCAACCAATCACGTTACGAATAGTTTGATGCCACATACATTTCATCTCAATTTTATATTAGGATATGATATATTCAACCAATCACGTTACGAATAGTTTGATGCCACATACATTTCATCTCAATTTTATATTAGGATAACAATTTCTACGAATGACAATACCTGATGAAATAATGCATTGTGATATGATAAACATTTGATTTTTTTTTTTTTTTTTTTGTAAAAAATCGAAAATTCCATGAATCGCATTTATTAAAACATTGAAACTACTTGATAAATATTAAGCAAGGTTTTAATTATACACAACTTTATGAATCAAATTTTTTATTATAAATAGTTATCTATATTTTTACGTTATTTCATTGATGTAGGTATTACTTGATAATTTAATTTAGGTTTTTGAAAAATCAATAGTGATGATGAATTTTTGATGTATTCAAAAATTTAAAGAATTTGTCTTGATTTATTATCAAAATCATTGACGTACATCAGCAATAAAAATATCTTTTCTAGAAAAATTGAAAAAAGATAAATGACAATAATCTTTACAACTAAATATTACTTTCAAAAACAAAATTTAATATTTTTTTAAATTAGTATTTTTAAATATTTATTTAACAAAACTAAAATTTTAATGTTTTATTTAAGAAAACTTTACTGAGGGAACGATAATATTTTAACTTGAAAGGAAACAAAATTATTAGTGGAAATTTTTTAGAGAATTTTTTTTATTGTAATCGATTTTATATAAAATAATGAAAAAATTGACAGTTTTTAGTTATTTTGAATATCATAATAACAAGATTAGCGAAAAAAATTTTTTGTGCCCCTGAGTAACTACATTTCAAATTTAAAAAATGAATTGACAGCTTAATCGATTTTATAAAAAAATAAATATCGATTTTGATAAAAGTTAAAATTGATAATCGATTGTTCACCAGTCATTCTGTTTCTAGTTCCGGGGTAGTTGCATTATCTGTATTTCTGTCTTTGTCGAAGTTATCCGAAACAGCAAAAACCTCTGCCCAGTTAAGTATTAAAAATTTCCAAAAAATTTTTCACTGCCTGACTGTAAAATATAAATTAAAAAATTAATATACGTATGTATAAGTATAATATGGAGTAAAAAGAGGACGCGCTGAAATCGTTTGTCAATTATTTTTAATCATTTTTTTTTTTTTAGTCAAGTTAATTTACATCGTCATACTTATCGCAGATCATATTTAAAATTAGGCTTACTGAAATTTAATTGTCTAAAAATGTCAAAATTGTACACGTTTAAGCCATTCGTTTTAAAGGAACATACAGCTAGATATGATGATGATGAAGAACCAGAAGGAAGATGCGAAAGCAATATATACTGTAAGAGTCATAATCTGTATATTTACCGGGGCAGTGATCCAACGATCATCGATGTTCGACAACTAGACGGTGACGTAATTCATTTTGTCACAAAGCCTGAATTTCGTGACATATGTGGGTATTTAATTTACTGTCAAGAGAATGGGCATACATTGACATTGAATTTTAATTACCATTTTGGGAGCATAATGAAATTGGTGTAATCTTCGAAGGGAATTTGCTAACCATTTGCACTATGCGACTACCTTATTCTGATAAACTTACCGACATATGTTTTCAATATTCTCAATGAACGTATGATCAACCAGCCTCTTCAAGGAGAGCAGGTACCTAAATATCCTTTATCAAATAATATGATTCGTGATGGAGGATATTATTATTTGGTTGGGGATGTTGATGATGAAAATAATCACGTTGGCGACGTCTACAGGATAAATATGAAGAGTGGAATTTGGGAATGTGTTTATAAATGTCAAGGAAAAGATAAAAAAAATGAACTTTGGACAAATATTCCTTATTACCTAGTTTTTGATGGAAAAAAGATTTTTACTTTTTTTTCTTTTGAAGATGAGGGATATGACGATGATTTTACTCCATATTCTTTTTTGGTAATTTACCTTTTTAAATAAATGATATTGTATTTATTTGTAACTTGCAACATATGTTTTTTTTTTTTTTTCAGAAACTTGCAGCATTTGATGTAGAAAATCGTCGATGGAGAACAATCAATACTTATGGAGATGTTGATCATGTACCCAACTATCCAATGGATAGAGGCGGACTTGACGGAGCTTTTTTTCAAATGACGCACTACCAAGACTCTAATAATGATCTTATAGTTATTTTATCAGGAAAATTTGATCATAAAGATAATTACAACGATTTATGGAAATTGAACCTCAGTACCATGACATGGAAGAACATTGACAATCGTGGAAGTTTAATACCACGAACGTTTAAAAGATTCTCAATGACTGTGTCCCCTGCCGGTCAACTATTTACATTCGGTGGATTCATCGGTGACCCGAAAGAAAGAGTATATAATTCATATTTTAAAACTAAATTTACTAGATGTCGTAGAAATCTTATTATTGCTCTTGTCTTCATTAAGTAACTTTTTAAAAATTTTGATATTTCCTGATTTAACTCGTGCTAGTTTAAAAAATACTATCAACTCCAAAGTTTAATATATTCGTATATATTATAGCTCACATAATTCTTACCGAATCTTCAGTTCGAAGATGAGCTGAATCGGTTTTGGTTAGTTTAAAAATAACAGTAATTTAAAATTTTCAAAACATGTGAAAAATTTTAACTTATACTTTCTCTCCGGGCAAAAACTATTGAATGCAATAACTTACTAAAGCATTGTGAATTTTATCTAAAAGCTTTTCAATTTACAGAGCTATATATATTTTACTAGATGAGTAAGTTTTAAAAATTACATCAATTTAAAAGTTTAAAAGTTTAAGAAAGTTTTCAGTTATACTGGCTCTTGACGCAATGACTACTAAATTCGATAATAGAATTTATTAATTTCCTGTAAAATGCATCTGAAAGCTTGATAAATAGGATTTTATTTAATTCATTAACCTCTAACAGCAATGAGGGTTAAAAGGACTAGTACGATTAGATTTGAAGGATTTTTAAATAATTTAATAATGTAATTAATAATATGTCAGGGGGTATAATTTATGTATTTGTATTTGTTTTTATATTTTATGGTATCAATTTATTCACGTATTTTCTCAACTATGCGTTAATGTTATATTATCAATTATCATTTTATTAAAATAGGAATTCTTCCATTTTGACTGAAGAGTAGTTTTTCTTCTTATTATATTAATGTTATATTAATGCTCACGTATTTATATGGTTGTGTTAATAGTAAATTTTTTTTCAGGTTCCCTGTAGCTCTCGTGTTCACTCAGTTTGGATTACTATTCCAAAACTCTCAGACATTTGTTGGGAGTCTATTCTTCACTATTTGCCGGGCTTGGTTTCAATGTCTCAAGAACAAGTTGGACCAAAATCTTGGTATTTCATGGAAATTTTTCCAATCGAGAATTAACTAATGATTAACTATTTTTCTTGCGTTGACTTTTTTTCATTAATGATAATTTTTTACGTATACGCTCAAGTATTGGCTCATTTCTGTATATCGAAAGTGTAAATGTTTTACTTATTTAACGTTTGTGTTTTAAGGAAATCCTTTCGCTCCAGTTGAGTCAAAACAATTGTAGTAGTCAATATACGATAAATTAAAAAAAGAAACCCATAAAAATTCCTAAAATTAAATAATAAATAGTATATGAGGCATTAATCGTTGAAACTTTGAAAAAAAAAAAAAAAAAAAATAGTTAAATACAAAAATTAATTTGACTCTTTCAAATCAACTGCTAGTAACCTGTCCGTAATTTGGCAACGCTGTACTTCGGTTGTTTACATTTTCCACGGAGCTTAGATAGATCTATCTAAGCTCCGTGACATTTTCATTTGCACAATATAACCTTAAACACGTTTAAGTTTTTGCAGTCAGTGTAAATAAATAAATTAGTTTGAATTTATTAAATGGTCTGAAGCTCGCGCGCTACGCAACGTTGCCAAATATTTTGACTCCATATTAATGTAGGTTACTTGAGAATTTTTTGTGATTTTAAAATATTAAAGGACCTCCTTAAATAAGTTTATGATAATTGAAAATAGAGTTTGTTTGTCTTTTGATTTCATAGTTATCAACATTTAACAGTTTTAATTTTTAAAAAATGCGTGTGCACTTTTCATTAAAAAAAAAAGATATTTTTTATGATTAATAATTAAATAAAAACAAAAATTAAATTGTCAAATTATACTCATTTTAAAAACTTCATTACATGATTAGCTTTTATCTTATTTTGATAACTTGATTGATATTATTGTCACAATTTTTTAAATCTTTGAATGCATATTTTGAAAAATATGCATATCGTTGAAAAAAAATTTTCTAGTGTCCTCTTGTTCCTTGGTTTTCGACTCCTCCGGTTGAGATGTTCGTACCCTTGGAGTGGGAGAGTCCCAGAGGGTAGTGAGATAGTGAGGGTAGTTGCGCGCGCCTCTGCAACTCTCGTCTTCAATTAGTATCCATTCTCGAGTTGGCAAAATGGGACCATGCTGAAATGACGTCACGATGACCCATGACGCTTCCAGGTCATTTGCAGCCCTGCCTGGATGTTGGGTCTTAATGACCTAGTCGTAGGTACTGGAGTAATCCCTTTTTAAATGAACGTTTTGGAAGATAAGCTTCTTAAAAGATTATGGGAATAAAAATAAATAGAAATCTCTAGGTTTTCCAGTTTCGTAAAAAATATTCCAAAACGTTCAATATTTTATTCTAAGTGACCATTACATTTAACGTAAACTTATTTTAACAAAGTGATTTTAATTTTTTCGGTATGTCTAGACTACAGAACGGTACTAAAAGTTTTGTAGGTTTTTTCCTCGGGAATTTTCGGTGATTATGAATTCGCTTAGACCCTAAAATTTATGATAGAAAAATTCCCATATTTAACAATAGAATTTAAAATAGAAAAGCTTACAACATTTTAGAGATTCTTATTTTTCTTACTAATACTATTACAAATAAAATACATATATTTTAAATCTTACTGGGTTTTTCCCGCTATCATTTATTGCAGCCATCTTTTTATATTTAGTTCTATATTAATATACAGAGAGCGTTGTGATCAATCCTTTCGGATTCACAACACCTGATAGAAGATGAAAATACAGTAAACATTTTATAAAGTTTCGGTCTTCGGGGTAGGAAATTATTCGAAGTAGATTTAAAGGGGCGTGGCTTATTTCTTGCAAACCAATCAATCTAAAGAATGGTAACTCACCAATATATTGAAATAATGCCCGGGAAATTTAAATATTCCTTCCATATCAATAACCTAAAATTTGTCAGAATCAAATTCAATTGACACATATTTCATATTAATTGTTTAAAGTTTTATTATTTTACTTACATCATAAATAAAACTAATTATTAAATATACGTTTTTTTACATTATCTAAAACTTTACAATCATTAATAACATCTTGGTTGTTCAAATCACAATTGATTTGATGTCAGTGCTATAATAGGTTAACTGCTTCTAATGTTTTTTGATCAAACAATTTTTTATCATAATAATTATTGATATTATCACAAGTAGCATTGTTATTATTATTATTATTATTATTAATAATAAATAAAAATTTTAATAATATGCACTAAATGTTTACTAATACTTATATTGATACAGCAAGGGTTATGTGTTTATATTTTTATGATGATAAAGCTAAGCAGCTAAGCTGGTTTGCAAAATAACTATCTTATCGACCTCATACATATGTTCTCACACATAAAATATGCTCCGCCTTATGTCGTGCGAACGAAGGGGAAATATTAAAGAGAAGGGGAAAAGATTGAGGGAAACGGAACTACTCACAGCGGAACTTTATAGAGATTTTATTGTACCTGGCGACAAAATTGTTCGTCCCTTTCGATCGTCCGAGGCCTCTGCCTCGGCTATCAACAGTGCTAATAACTTCCTGAGTGAACGAGTGTAATTAATAAATTGAGTGTTTTAGTTAAAACAATTCAGAAAAATATAATAAGAATGAAACGGCGGAGAAATAATTTCACTAAGGACCAATATCTTTTCCTAGAAGGAATATTTGAAATAAATCCGTCTGTGTGTGCATTAGCCAGAAAGGAAATTGCCGAATCACTAGGTATTAAGGAGAAGCAGGTTAAAGGTTGGTTCAAAAAACGTCAAAGAAAAGAAAAGATGAAGAAGTCACTCCAGAACATTAACCAGGATCAGAACTGTCAAGTGGAAGAAAAGAAACTGGATTCGTACCAGGACGTCAACCAGGATCAGAACCGTCATGTGGAAGAAAATAATGAGGATTCGTAACAGAACGTCATCCCAAACCTAGAAGACTTTCTTAATCAAGATGAGCTGAATCATAGGTTATTGTTTACCACTGATAACTCAGAGAATTGTCGTAGCTATCAAATTTATCCGAGTTAGTCTAATGTGCCATTATATACTTCAACATGGTGTTACATTATAGAACTCATGCTAATCAAGAGAATTGTAATTTTTATTTGAATAAATTTTATCAAAATATATTTATTATGCCACAATTGTGAAATTCTGTAAAAATTATATTACGTTCTTGATTTTGTGTAATCGATAATAAACGTCTCGAATAAAATATTTGGCATCACATTTTTTGTTATTAGTAATTGATTTATTTAATTGATTAATTTCAATGTCAAGAAGTATAAGCTAAAATGAATATATGTTATAATTATTAAATTGTTTGCCGTAAAATTGTGAAATTGAAAAACTTGAAAAATAATCGAGGTTGTTGACAAAGGGATGTTGTTAATTAGTTATTTTTCTCTATTATAAGATAACTTTGACTGTAGTACAAGTTTAAGTCATATAATTATAGCTCATATTTGAGTCTTATGTGCCAATATACTTTAATATGATGTAACATTACGTCCCGTTTCTAGGTAAACCACGTATCTGAAAAATGGAAATTTTTGGGAAATCATCAAAAACGTTCATAAGAAGTGCTAAAAAATGTTTTTAACTATTAATCTCAATTTCGAAAAAAATGTAGTTACGTGGTTCACGTAGAAAGGGGACGATTAGAGAATTCATGCTAATCAAGATAATTGTAATTTTTTTTTAAATAAATTTAAAAAAAATTGTAAAATTATATTACGTACGTTCTTGATCGCGTGCAATCGATAATTACATATTTTGTTATGTTGGAAGTAACGCCTAACCGTCTTACCCCATGAGTAGTGGGGAGGTCATGTGATGTCATGATCCCTGCTTGAGATGAGATTTGAGAACTGTACCACCACTTACTTCCGATTGAGTTTTGGTAACGTGCGGATGCACATATTAATAAATACTCTTAACTATTAATTGGTATTGTTTATTTAAAAGGCCCTACCTAATTCTAACAGGTTATGAGCCGTACACGTGTCCACTGCGCAAAATTAATAAATTAAAAAACTTTCAAAATTTTAAGCAATAAATAATTATTACGTTCAATAAGAAACTTTGAAGTTCTCGAGAACATAAGTGACTAACGTGAGGTGAATTGTTTAAGTGAACTGAAGTGAATAATCAAGATTTGAAGTTTTGAAAAATTGCAGAAATGTCAGAAGAAGCGTCTTATTCTGTTGAAAAGTTTGACCATGACAACGGTCAACGTAAGTAATATGAAAGAAAATTTTTATATTTGAGATGTGTTAGAATATTTAAGAGATGAGCATGAATTTTTGAGAAGCGAAAAATACGTACGTAATTTAAAAATTTTAAATTATAAATTTGGCAGAATTTTTATTTGTTAACTAGGAAGGAATATTGTAATATTCCTTGCCTCTGTTAAAATGTTCATGTTACATGTTGTATATAGAAGTGTTGAAACCAAATTTTATTACTTTTTTACTTTTGAGAACTATGTAACTTGAAACGTTACACATGGGGCCAAGCGCACATGGTAACAGCATCGAACAATCGTTGGGTTGTTGGATATTTTGAAAAGACTGAGATGCGCCTTTGTTACTCAATGTTTACTTTGAGAAAAATATTGAGAGTGACTTCATACGTTTATACGTTTATGAAGATTAAAACTGGTTTAAATAGAAATTTAAACCAAAACGTTTAAATATTTAACTTGTCGTATCCAAATGACGCGGTTTATTTATCAGATTAAATTCTGAAAAGTTAAATTGATTTAACGAAATTTTATACTTATGTATAAATATAAATTAAAGTTGTATAGAGTTACAATTTTAATAGTGTGCACACAAATAAATAAAAATATTAATAGCTATATATTTATCTGCAGAAATTAGAGACGAGGAATTATTTAAAAAATTCTTGGAAAGATACAGAAAAGTTTTTCAATTTGAACAAAACCATCCTGGAGAGGAAATATCACTAAGTATTAGTGGTGAGAGAGTGTTATTTCATGTTGAGACGCGTAAGGTATCTTATCAAGCAGGTTGGTTGAAAATCATAAATTTTATGTACATAAAAATATTGAGAATTAATCCAATTATTTGGATTTTCTCACTTAAGGTCATCTAATTCAAAATTAATTTTTGACAATAATGAATAATAATTAACTTGTATGTTCAAAAATAAATACAAGGTTTTACTTTGTGATTCATGCTTAGTGATGGATGCTGTGATGCATTCATTTACTTCTTGAATTACTGAAGTGGTTGTATGTATGATCTTGTGTTCGGATTATATATATTACTGCTTGCTTTAACCTGGCCATACTTGTTGTTCAGTCAACCAGGCTTAAATTAAGGCATAGCTCCTGGTATAAGAATATTATTAATTAAAAATTAATTCGCTTAACATATAAAAGCAATATGAACGAGGACGAGTGGAGAGCCGCTATTAAGTGGATTGAGAAACAAGAAAGAGATGGTCCTTGGGTAGTCTCACCAGGAGATGATGACCAAAAATCTGTGTCTCAGGAAGATGAGGAGACATTATTAAGAGATACGATTGAGAGTGGAGATGAGGCCGAGAGAGAGAGAGAGATGCGAGAAAAAGAGATGTGACAAAGAAAGTACTCTGTTAAACAAAGCAGACTTATCCCAAGGAGGTAAATCTTTACCATCAATTAAATTTATAGAATCAGTTAATCTTAATTATAAAATTAAATCAAAACATTTTTCCGTTTCTAATATAGTTGCAAAAAATAATGAAGTTGAAGCGCTACCTGGTACTGCTTCACAAATTGTGGAGAGTAACACTAATAAAGACGAAGTGTTATCTCTAGTGAGGCAATTTTGCGAATCCTCTACCAATATGATGAAGCAATGCCAGGAATCTCTGTTAGGTGCTCAGGCAGCTGTTGCTAAAATGGAAAAAATTCAAGGTTTGATTATTGACGAGTTCAATAAACAAAAATATGTTTTTGTTAAACAAACAAAAACCCTTGAAGACAAAAATAATGAGATCCGTAAGCAAATAAAAGATGTGAATAATGAATGCAGTAAAATGCATGAGCATTATCAAAAATTAGTTGATAGAGATGAGAGCAGATCGAACGGTGGTACTTCTAGTAGTGAACTTGGAGAATTGAAAAATCAAGTTTCTAAATTAGTACAACAAGAGTTTAGAAAGTTAAAAGTAGACAGAAGTGTTAGCGAATTTCAAAATTCTGACAGTTTAGCAAATAAAATTAAAGAAACTTAAATTTATTTATTGTTGTTATATTGAATTTTTATAATCATTAATTTGATTGATTAATTTTGCACCATGTGTGAAAATAATTAGAGCAGAGAACTGACGTGATTATAATAATAAAGAAAAACATAGATATTTTATACAAATTTAAGATTTTATAAAAATGTGTGTATTTTTTAATTTCCCAATAAAAAAATTGAGAATTTTCCACTAAATGAAAGTTATTGATTTGAGTCCAATTTTTGAAAGTCGAGTTTTCATCGAATCTCCCCGTTTTCAGGTCCCAGGAAGCCATCAATTTTAAAATTTTTTTTTTTTATTTTTAAGTAATATAAAATACAAGGCGTTGGTTTAACCAATGTATCCAAATCAATTTTTAAATTTAAATTTGTACAAGCCGAGACATCTACTGATGATCGCCGGGAGCTACAGACACACAGCTACTCCACGACCATCAAGTATATACCAACTACTACTACTACTACCATAAGTGAAAGTTGTAAAAAATCTAAATTGAATCATATATAACCTATAATATTTAGTTAGTTTTAACAATCAACTGATCGGTTTTTTGTTGTAAGAATAATTAAAGTGATGAATAATATCAGAGAAGAAATAAAAGACTTTGAAATCTTCCGTGGCTGGATCGAGCTACGAACAAGTTCGTGACAAAATAATGTCAAAAAAGTTACCTGTCAACACGATGGTAAAAATTTATAGGAAAGATCGAATTTGGCGCCGGTGATTTTATCAGCGATAGGTTTGAACCGCTTAAGGAAATCCTTTCGCTCCAGTTGAGTCAAAACAATTGTAGTAGTCAATATACGATAAATTAAAATAAAAAACCCATAAAAATTCCTAAAATTAAATAATAAATAGTATATATGAGGCATTAATCGTTGAAATTTTGAAAATAAAAAAAAAAAATAGTTAAATACAAAAATTAATTTGACTCTTTCAAATCAGCTGCTAGTAACCTGTTCGTGATTTGGCAACGCTGTACTTCGGTTGTTTACATTTTCATTTGCACAATATAACCTTAACCACGTTTAAGTTTTTGCAGTCAGTGTAAATAAATAAATTAGTTTAAATTTATTGAATGGTCTGAAGCTCGCGCGCTACGCAACGTTGCCAAATGTTTTGACTCCATTTTAACGTAGGTTACTTGAGAATTTTTTGTGATTTTTAAATATTAATTTCTCAATAAATATCTCGGTAACTGATATATTTTATTGCAAAAAAAGAAACCTGAATATTTCGAAAATCTAATTTTTAGTTTTTTTTTACTTCATCTAATCCATGACTGATAGTATAATTCGAGAAATACTGCAAACGTCTGAATTTCTCATAAGACTCTGAACAAATACTAGCATTTAAAAATTTTATTTTTTCAAAAATTTGTCCGGTAAAGTATAATTTAAACCTCACTATTAGATAAATAAGGACCTTAACTATTAGAAAAAAATTGAATTTACTCATAATCTAATATTTTTTATTTTACATTGGCGGCGAAAGGACCTCCTTAAATATACAGGTAAACAAATATTTAGATTTTTAGATTACCAAACTTTCGAATTTTTGTTCAAAACGAAGCAATACCAACGCGATCTACTGCTGCATTTCTTAACTAATCTGTTTCAATTAAACTTGTGCTAATGCGGCACCGTGCGGCAATGAGTCGCATTGTGCTCTTGTAATTGGAAAACTACCACAGTACAGCTACTCCACTACCAAGTACAGCGCGACCGAATATGGGAAAGTGACTAAAGCCTCTATTGGTAAATGACACCGTGTAAAAAGAGGCCTATACCAAAATTACCAAAACCTGGTTTGGGTAGTTAAATTTTTTAACGCCAGATGGCAAGTACGTCACCGCCATAAGAATACATGACCTGGTTTGGGTAGTGCTGTTTTCTACCACAAGGTGGTGTCTTGCAATTACCATTTACCAATATGGAATACTACTATGGAGGGTAGAAGTACTTCTACCCTCCATAAATACTACTACTACTACTACTACTTCTACTACTGTAAGTAAAAGTCGTAAAAAATCTAAACTGAAACATAACCTATAATATTTAGTTAATTTTGAACAACCAGCGGATAATCAATTTTTGTAACAAAAAATAATTTAAGTCATGGACATTCATAGAGAAAAAATAAAAGACTTTATAATCTTCCGTGACTTGTGCTACGAAGAAGTTCGTGAGTCAATAATGTCAAAAAAGTTATCTGTCGACACGGTGGTAATTATTTATGAGAAAGATCAAATTAAAATTTCTCATTTAAAATTATTACCGCGAATCAGACCCAAAAAAGATTTCTTCGAATATACTATTCTTCACTTGGCTCTTTATGTACATGACGACGAATTCGTGGACTTCCTCCTGGAGAATAATGCCGACACGAAGCTGGAGACAGAAGATTTGGCACCGGTAATTTTATCGGCGATTCTTTTGAACCGCTTGAAGTACGTGGAGAAATTAGTGACAGCTGGAGCTGATATCAATCAGATTATCTGTGTAAAAGACACATATGAGAACTATAGTGATAGGCTTAATGATAATTATATTGATAATAATTATAATGATCATCTGACTTATGATCAGTATACACTTCTGGAATTTGCTGTCAATCAGAATGCATATGAGATTGCTGAATTTCTCATCAGCCAGGGCGCTAATGTTCACGTAAGAATTGGTAATGACGAAGAGATTAGCGACTCGCCAATGGGTATTGCTGCTTTGGCAAATAACGCAGAAATGTTGAAATTGCTGATCAAACATGGCGCTGATATTAATGCTGGAGACATCAATGGAGTGACTCCTCTGATGAGAGCAGCTATTGAAAACGATAATTCAGCAACTCGCAGGTTTTTGCTAACTCAACCTGTTATAGAAATAAATTCTCTGACTAATAATAAGAGATCTTGTCTTCATTTTCCAGAGATTTGGTACATTGAGTATCATATTCTTGATCCTGAGTCTAGTCTTCGAGATCTTCTGAATGCAGGTTGTGATATCAATATTGTCAGTGACCATGGCGAATTACCAATTGATAGCTATGGAGACAAAAAAGAGTGCCTTGAGGTTATGAAGAAGCATATTGTTAAGCTGATAGCGGCTGGCTTTTACGTCTGTGAAAGGAATAAAGAAGCTGTTTCAGGAAGTAAATTCAAAAATTTCAGAGTTCAATGTGATACAGAAGTTGAAGTTATGAAGAATACTTATGGAATAATGGCTGGATTTTCCTTGTTTGAGATACTGCACAAATCTTATCACAAACTGGCGTTGCGGACCAAGGATGGAGATGAAGATAAGTTTGATGAAAAAATGGCGGCCAAGTTTCCTCTGTACGCAGGAATGATTAAGTATCGCTTGGAGAAAGCTGGTCAGCGAAGAAAATTGTTCAATCAAGTTGAAGATATTCTCTATAAAGTTTTTTCTAGATATCTTCCTGCTACTATTATTCATGAAATGTTTTTTTATTTTAGTAACTTTGAATTGAGTAAATTGGTGGAAATTGAGTAAGCGGAAGATAAGTTTTTTATTGGTCATCGAATTTAATTTATTATTGGTTTCTTTTTAATAGTTTATAAATTTTTAGTTGAGCTTTTGATTTTTATATGCTTGTAATAATTTTGTATTTTTATTCATTGAATTTGATACTTTTCTGATAATAAAACAAAAGAGTTAAATAATATAAAAGAATTATTTTTTATTTATTATAATATTGAATTCTTTATAATTATCAATCCAATTGTTTAATTTTCAAGTACGTGTGAAACTAATAAAGCAGAGATTTCAACTGAAAATAATAATAAATAAATATATATATTCTATAGAAATTCAAGATTTATGAAAATGTGTATAAGTGTTTTTTTGATTTTTTTTTTTTATTTTTTTTTTTTCGTTACGGTATAATTTTACAAACCAAAAAAAAA